TCAGGGTGGTACAGTATTAGGAGAACCGCTCAAAGTGGAAAAAATCGGAGAAACTTACTTGCCATATTCTCTCTTTTTTGAATATATAAACGGTTTGGGAACATCTACGTTTGCGTAAGTTGTCATTTTTTAATATATAATTATAACATATAGGCAAATTTATTTTAAATTAAGTTATTAAAAATAAACTTTTGATTAGTTTTTTATACATTATTTAATATTATATTTTTATAAAATAGTAAAATAAAATGTAAAATAAATATTTAATATGTTCATATATTATTAATATAATATTTAATAATATTTAAATTTAAAAAAAAATACATAATTTTGTATGTTTATGTAGTTTTGTTATTTTCTATGAACTTATTTTATTTATAATAATTTATCTATTTTTTAATTATAGTCCGGGTACTTATAATCTTTTTAAACATAACTGCAATAGTTTCACAAACGAAGTCAGTAATTTCCTAGTGGGCCAAGATATTCCGAAATATATTCTCGATTTACCGGAAGAAATACTTAAAACGTAAGAATATATGTATCCGTTTTATAAGTTTTATTGTTAAAAATTTAATGTTAAAATTAAATAATTTTTCTATTTCATTTTGTTATTTAAATTATTTAGACCAATTGGACAACAAGTTGGAGGTCTTATAGAAGGTTTATCTAATAGTTCAAATAAATCATATATAGTTGGTCAAACATTCCTTGAATCAAGAAATCATAGAGAAGTTTCGCCAGAATTTCAGCTCTTAAATGAAGCTATTGAAGAAGCAAGGTAAAATTATTATTTGCGTTTTTTTTATTATAAGCTTTCCTATTTTTTATTTTCTTTAGTATAATGTAATTATTGTGACAGATTAAATTCGATTGCATTAGAAGAAAGAAGAAACGAGATTAACGAAAAACTCGCGAAAAAAGATAGAAAGAAAAAAAAGAAGAAGAAGGACAAAAAGCAAAAAGGAAGTAAAGATAGTGCAAGCGATAGTAACAGTACCGGTCCTAGTAATTATACACATATGGCAGAAAGCGAAAGTATATTAATTTTGAAAAATAGAATATATATATTTTATATACAACATATATATGTATTATTTTAACTTAAATTTAGGTGCAGTAAGTTTGAGCGAAATGCAGGCTTCAAATGGTGAGAGTACAGAAGTGTTACCATCGGAAAGAGTTATGCAAATGGAGGAAGAAGAAAAAAAAGAACAAGAAGAAAGAAAACGTCATCGTGATCCTCCTATTGTATTTAAGGATGTAATAGATATCAAAGAAGAATATCAAGCATTAATCAAAGTGTTAGAAGGAAAATTAAGTGAAGAAGAACGAGTGTGCTTAGATGAGCTTCGACAGTATGTTTTAGAGAACGAAGGTTCTTGGGCACTCGGGGATAACTTTTTAAATTCGTAGGTGAGTCAATAAATAACGATATTTTTCATTGGAATGAATCTATTTATCGAGAACATCTATATATTTAGGGCGAATTTTGTATGATAAATCTTTGATAAATGATGCAAGGGTAAAATTATTGAATATATTATCCGTTGCTGCATTAAAAGACGATGTAATTCTTTTATTACATCAAGATAGAAGGGAACATATAATTATGAATTATGCTTTCGATATTGATCGTCATCCCCAGGAAGAACAACTTCCTCTTGCACAATTTGTAAGCAAATCAGACTTATTTGCTCACGAATAAAAATTTATTAATATTTTAATTTTTAATCACATGTTATAGTTGGCAAATATGTTCGAAAACCTTAGTAGTTCGGAATGGCTGTTATACATATCGGAATGGCAACATCAAACTCAAAATATAAGTAACATAAGGGTGACGACTAAAGTCGCAGTGCATTCGTTGCTTTCAAATTTGGTCGACTTGCAGATTCGTGGCGCCGCTATTATTCACAATCTTGCCTGCAAGGAGGTAAAAACTGTGGTCTGTATCCTTCCTATCCAATTAACAATTTCCCATTTCGTTTGCTTTTGTTTCAACTCACATTAGTAACTGTGTTATATAATATTTTATTTTAGTATGAAAATAAAAAGAAGGAAAATAATCTTTGTATACAATTCTTTGATAAAAAATGTATCATTTGCAATGTTGCTTAACAAATGCTTTTACTATTAATTTTAAGCAGTATATCAACGAAAGTGATGCTTGCACTATTCTCGCGAATAGAAGTGCTGCCTTTATTAATAAATCAGCTGTACATGTAAAACTGAAATAAGGTTCTTAACCGTCATCAAATTTGGTAACTGATTCACGAACGAGCAACGAAATCTTTCTATAAACAATTTCTTTTATAAATAGCAATGATTCAAGAAATATATAAATATATTTCTCGTTACTCGTTTGTATTTTCATACATGTATACGATGTTGCGATGCAATTAGAATTAATGGATACCTATCGAGAGATCGGATACTGTTTTTTCAGAAAATGAACAAAAGCAAAAATCTGCGGCGACTTTTACCAAAAGGCAGCATTTCTAAGGTACTTGTCTGAACATGTATGTATGTATAATTTAACCGTATATTACGTAAATCATCTATTAACAATTAAAAATACATATTCAAATACGTACAAGTGTGTTTCATCAATACGAATAATTTTTAAATAAATCTACATTCATTATCATCATCATTATCGTCAATTTAAAATACTATTGAAAAGGGAATAATCAATTTTTAATATTGTTCATTGTTTTTGTTCTATTCAAAATGATTTTTTTATTATTATTTTTTTTGCCAGGTGTTTTACAGGTATGTGATTAAACTATCATAATTTTATTCTAATCATCTTCTGTTTTGTAAAATATATAGGTGTTCGATGATGTCGCCGTAGAATTGACAATGGCATTGTTGCAATATTTCAATGGTAGTCCTGCTGAAGAACAGTTGTATGCTTGTATGAAGTCATTGGCACGTTTTACACAAATCAGTGGCCAAGATGTACCACAACTTATACAAATGATTGGACCAGAACCAAACAAATTTCGTGGAACGTCTGAAAGAATCGACGAGCAAATCGATCAGGTTAACAAAAAATTGCGTTAATAAAATGTAATTCGACAATTTTATTAATAATAGAAATCGTTAAATTCCAAACATGCAATTGGGAATGATTAATAAAAAATGGTATATAATTGAATTTTTACATAGAAATTTGATTAAAATTATCTAATATATTAAAATTAAAATTTTTTAAGTAATATTAAAATTTTTATTAGTTATTCTTGTCATTAATATTATTATTATTATAATTATATTCTCATTATTAAAAATTTTCATATTTTCACTCACAAAATAAATTTTCTTGTGTAAAATATTTTATTTATCTGTAAAACTAAGAAAGCTATTTAAATATATAAGTTTATTTAATTCAATATTAAAATAATGACATCTAATGTTATCATATTTAATTAAATATGTATATAAGTATTTTTCAAAACAACATATATATATATCAAAATATCATTATAATTTATTTATGTAAAATATAATAAAATATGATATCTAATGTGTTTTGCATAATTTTTTGAATTAAACTTATTTTTGTTGAATATAATAATAATATATTTTAAAAATATTTCTTCTTTATAATAAACTTTAGAATTAAAATTAGATTTAAATAAAATTGTATTCATATTGTAAATAATATTAAGAAAAATTCAATAATGACAAATATAACATTTTATATTTATCAAGTATCAAATAAGTTTAAAACAATGAAAATTATAATATTTATTCTTTTTTTTTTTGATTTATATTTGAATAATAAATATAAGCAAGAAAAAAAATATCGCTTAAAAATGATTATTAGACTAATTTCATGAATTCATTTCAATAAAAACATAATTAAAATTTTTGTAAAAAATGGAATTTTATATTGCAAAAGCAAGTGCAAAATGCAATTTGATATCATATATAAAATATCATAATAGAATACAATCTTTTATATTTAATCTTTTCTGATCTATTGATCTTTATTGATCTATTAGGCCAATATATTAACATATGTTTCATAACTAATATATAACATATGTTTCCAAATAACATTTTATGCTTATTTATTATTATTTGGTAGAGATTGAATTAAAAAAATAAATGTAAATAAAAGTATCAAATTTATATTTTTCAAATTTGTCTCAATTTGTTTTCAATAATATGATAAAAAAAAATATACTGTTTTATTTACAAAATTGAAAATAATGTTCGTTATGAAAGAAAAGTATTCTTGAAATGTTTATTCTATATAATCCATTCATTTGAAATAAATTTTTATTATTAAACTTTTTTCCATATATAATATTGTTATATACAGCTGAATCATATAAAATGAGTAAATAGTTAATAGTTAATAATAGTTTAAATAATTATGATTAAAATTATAAAGTAACTTACATAAGGGCACTATTCAATTGTCTTATATTCTATAAATATTTTAATAGATAAAGTAGTAAAATCGTGAAATAGGTGTACAATAAGACGTTAGCATTGAATCATCTTATCTTGATTTTTAAAATTTCTTTAATTATTGATCTCTAATAAATATGTATAAAACACATGAATTAACATATTGTATGTAATTCATTCCGATTTAAATTAACTCTTTCCATCCAAAGATAAAAATAGAGATGCAATATATATACATTTATACTATGCATTTTTTTATTATTAAGATTGATCATGATCTTTGTCCTTTTGATAGTTTTTATCAATATATGAACAAGGATCATCGCACGTGAAACAAATAATAATCACACAATAAAGCAAAACGTTGTAATTTTGTTGGCGCCAAATGTTTACTTTAAGATTTAACGAAAGACTCATCAAGTGATAACAATTTGGAAGCGGTGAAAATATGCTGATAGAGAAGTAGAACCGCGTTTATGTTCGTGGAATACGAATATAGTGGCACGAGGTGCATAATCCAGTGTACAACACGATTTCTTCAAGACAACTCTTTTGTTCTTTTTTTTTTTTGAATGCGATTTTTATGCTGTTGTGAAGTAACAAAGCGAGTAAATTTTATAATTAATTTAATCATATTAATTATACAGTGTTTTTCGATTACAATTTCATTTTGCAAAAAGAATGTCTGGAACGGCAGGATCTATTCCATTGGAAGAATATGTCTTGTCTAAAAAAGATAACAATAAATCAAATTTTTCAATTGTTAAATACATAACAATATTAAATTGGTTGCCAAAGTATACTCGGTTGGATGCAATTTCCGATTTTGTAGCTGGATTTTCGTTAGGATTAACCCTGATACCTCAAAGTATCGCATATGCTGCACTTGCAGGCTTAACAGCCCAGGTATTTATTTTTATCAATTTATTAACAGATTTTATTTATTTAATATTACTTTTATGATAATATTCGTAAAAATATTTGTTTAAATTGATATTAGTTTTTAGAAAAAAGAAGTTTTTAAAAAAAATATAAAAATTTTTTATTATAATATTAAAAAGATTATAAATTACAAAATTTGTAGTCTATTGTTTACTTAATTGAACTTAACATTTTTAAGAAAACAAATTATTCAATTTTAATTCATTTTTTTACTTTTTTTTGATAATATCTCATAGTTTCGATATATTGCTATGTAAAAATTAATTAAGTTTTTGAAATATTCTTTTTTCTTTATTCTCTTTTATTTCTATTAAAGAAATATATATAATTTATGACACATGTATTAAAATAAGATTTATATAGTGTAAAATAAATAATTTTTGATAAAAGTATATTTATAATTGTTTGAATATGTTTAAATTGATATTACAAAATATCTCTTTTGAACTCTTTTACGAACTTTCTGTTTTTTATAATAATATTTTTTATAATATTATTATAAAAATATATAAGTAATTAAATAATTTTTCTATAATTAATTTATCTTTTTCTTTTTATATTTTTACATAAAAGTTTAAAATCTGACGTTTTCCTTTTAATATTTTGAGATTTTACAGATAATTTTGACTTTATATATTATTTATATATAAAATTTTTTATATATAATTTATATATAAAATATATTAATTAAAAATATAATTTTAAATACATTCATATATACAAATTTATATATAAAGAAAAATAAATTAATTTAGAATAATATTCTATAATGTAACACGAGACAATAATTAAAAAATATTTATATAAAAAAATCTAAGAAAATAATCAAAGATATATTAAAAATATTATTGATAAAATTTTGATTTTTAAATTTTTAAATCCAAATTTTTAATTATAAAATAAAATTCCTTCCAAACTTCAATTTCCATATATTTCATTTCATGTCTCTATATTAAATAAAATGTCTATATATTATAAAATATTTTCTAAAAAAAAACAGAAATATAAAGAGAGAAATTATCTTATTATATAAATAGAAATATGTTAATTACTTATATTAATTTATTGTGTTTATGTTATATTTATGTACGTTAAATTAGATATAAATATTGAATTCTTTGCAGTATGGTCTTTATTCGTGCTTAATGGGCAATTTACTCTACCTTTTTTTCGGAACAATTAAAGAAGTATCGATTGGTCCTTCATCTTTGATGTCACTTTTAACCTTGGAATATACGAGAAATATGTCAGTGGATTTTGTCGTGCTTTTTTGTTTTCTCGCTGGATGCGTAGAATTACTGATGGGTGTATTACGTTTAGGCTCGTATCAATAAAATAATTTTTAATTGCGATAGCTTTCAAAAGTTTCAAAAAAATAACATTTCAATAACATAATGATACTCAGATGCAAAAACAGTGGAATATTCGATTAATTCTACGGATATAATATAACTTCATTTATAATTCCACTGATTAAATCTCTCGCCGATTGAATCCACTTATTATTTGAACAATTGAGCAGATATAAACAAGGATGAATTCTTATTATATAAGCTAAAAATTTAAATCCATTTAATTTAAAACAATTATTAAAATTTTATATAAATGAAGTTCTATTATAATCAAAAGATTTGGTGTAAAAGGCAGTCACCTCTGTTATAACGATATCATAACATTATATTATCATAGTATCAACAAAAATGTGTCTAGCAAAATAAATTATATGATAATTTTTAAATATATGAAGATCGTGAGAATTTTTCAATGAAATAAATTATACAAAATTTTTTAGTAAAATCATTTTAATATGTAAAGACTTTATTTTTTATATATATTTAACATTTCGGAATTTGGATTATTATTCAAAATATGATCTTTATCAATTCTCAATGGTATTGAGATATATTATCATTTTAAACAATTTTTTTTATATAATATATATATAAAAGGATTCTTTTAGTTTTCAAGATATTAGCAAATACTGTTATTATTATTATTATTATTGTTATTATTATTATTATTATTATTATTATACATTATTATTGCATTGAATTTTATTCATATTTTATCATTATCATGTGAATTTATGACATAATTACATAGCTGATGAATTCGTCACTTTGTTTATCATATTCGAATTTTTTTTTATGAAACCTGAAAATAGATAATAAAAAGGATTTTGATAAATTTATCCTAATTTTTAAATATTTATAAAATATGTGGACAGGAGAATTACAACTATTGTTGTACAATGCATTTGAAAAAATTTTGATAAATATTGTTCTTTTTTGTAATTGTAATTTTTCAGTCTAAATTATTTCTTGTTCTATATTTTATTTTTTTACTTATCTATATATTTTTTTTATTATCAATACTCGATTATAAGAAATTTATAGTATAATACAAAATAAATTTTACTTATAATCTATAATAAATTTTAAATTAATGAAAAAATAGCATATTTCTGGTACTAACTAGATTTTATAGATAAAATATACTTAAAGAATTAAATAATATGCAAAACTCTATGCAAAACTAGATTATTTATAATAGAAAGATTTTCACATGTTATTATCTATACATATATATATAAAAATTTTTAATTAGTGTTTCTTTACGTGAAGTCTTTTTTATGTCTTATAATAATCTAATTTGAAAATTAGATTAAGATAAATTAAATATTAAATACAATATTGAAATTGAATATTTAATATTAATTAAATACTTCAATATTATATTAGAAAATAATTTAAAGGCAAATTTAACAAATATACATGTAATTTTATTAAAAATGAGAGAAGTTTCTGTTTCATATTATTCATATTATTTTGAAAATTAATAATTTAAAAATTAAGAAGAAGACAATTGATAATTAAAAAATATTTTAGAATATTTTATATATGTAATAAATTTTCATTATATTCTCTATCATCTTGTAACAAAAATTATGTATGATAT